GAATAAACTTACAGGCCCTTTGTGACGTGATAGATGACCAACAAGAGCACTTTCGCTTGCCTCAGAACTGCGAACAAAATTAGAATATAAAATAAGCGCTACATCAAACAAAATACAGAATTTAGACAAGATTTACAGTGTGGATTTCTATTACATTTTTAACACAAAAAAATAATATTTCATGAACTGCATGCAGAGAAGAATTATAGTACTTAAAAGCAAGAAAATGGGAAACTTCAAAAACCACAAAACCTATCCATCTACATCTGTCCAGCAACCCGTTAGCAATATTAAAATGTCAACCCTCTACTTTTGTAGATTTCCAACTTTACAGGGAACTCAAACTTCGAAGCACAGTTAAAACAACTAAAAGATCAAGGCACAAAAAAACAGAAAAGAAATGTGAAAAACCCTCATTTAAAATTTTATAATAAAAAAATCAAATCAATGCTGGCTCAAAAATGAAAAAACAATCACCCTCTAAACAGCAATTCCAATAAGCAATTAAAATTCCTCGCCAAGAAGTTCCACTATATAAACTATGAACCTCAACTCAAAATCGAGGTTTCATCAAAATTCAATGTGGAAGCATATCAATTGCACAGCATACAATGTACATATAAGATTCGTGCCAACAAGAATTTCCCACATGCCACATAAACCTCTACATCCCAACATGGAGAACCCCAAGCAAAACTTAAATCAAGCTAGAGAATTCCCTGAGATACCAATTTTACCGTTTTAAATCAGAACACAATCTTACAAAACCGAGTTCTTATCTCTCTATATTCCCGACTCTTAAACAGACAACTCCGATCAAAACATTTCCGTCCAATCCAAATTACATTCAATGTAAAACCAATCCACGCAAAAACAAAACTACCTAACTTGCATCAGATCTATACTTCCAGAAATCCTATCGTCCACTCACAAATTTCACCTAAAATTCATCCCAATTAGCAAACCAGTCTCAATCAAATTCAAATGGATGATACATAAAGCAAAATTCTAAAAATACCGGATCAGGGACAAGGGATTCAAAATGTCGATATTGCCATCAACAAGGCCACCAGCAATAAGTCCAAGACCATATGTATCAGAGCCGGATCCATTCCTACCCCATGCGAGACGATTAAATCTCTCAGAACTTTGACACTCACCAACAACAGGGAGATCATGATCTTCCGATTGGAAATCAAGCTTAAAGATCTCAAGAGTCGCAGACGAGCTAAATGACAGATCCACCGCCCCCGCCATCGTCCCCGCCGCCATGTAAGGCGAGTCCGGGGCTAACGCCACCGACGCCGATCTATTCACCGACTTAATGGCCGCCATAATCCCCTCCTATCAATCTAAGCAACTACAAAATCTTCAATCGATAATTGGATCTGATAAATAAAGAAATGAGAGAATTCGATATAGGTTAAAAAAATTTAGGGTTCGATCTGGGTTTGAGAGTTAATTTTTCCCTATATAGACGTTACACACTTGGCTCCGCTCTCTCGTTCTCTGCGTTCGTTTGTGCGTGAGGAGCGAGTGATGTTTTTTGTTGTGTAGATTTTTTTTTTTTTTTCGAATTTTTCCGGGTATCCGGAAGAGGAAGGCCTTTATAGGCCACGCTCTTCTATTGTGACTGGTTGGACGTTGTGCGCTGTAGAGGTTGTACCCGGGGAGAAAGTGTGAGGAATGGAGGTCTTTTTGTCTAGAAGAGACGTCATCTCTGTCACTTATCCAATTGCATGGTGACACGTAAAAAACCGGTATGACGTGGGCTGATGGAAAGAGCCGGTGGATGTTCATTCGAGGCTTTTATTTTGGTCCAGTGATATTGATGGGTGATATAACGTCATGATTCGGGCCGCCTGAAAGAATCCTATTTGAGCCCAGGTACCCATTTGATTAACAGCCTAACATCTTTTCCGGTACCCATAACTTTACTTTCCTTATGTAAGAAAAAAACTAAATATCGACTCGTGGACGGGGTCGGGCAGATCAAGATAACATCTTGCCTCTCCAATTTTCATACCCACTGTTTGTAGCGAGTCATTCTTCCATTATCTTGTCAATTGTTTTTTATTTAAAAATATATTAATATAATATTTTTTATTTTTTAAAAATTATTTTTAATATCAATATATTAAACAATTTAAAAATATCTAAAAATATAATTTAAAACAAACAAATTCTTGATTTTTTGTAAAAATATTTTTCAGCTGTAAAAATAGACATCATCTTCAGTTATTTAAGAACGGAGGCACACTTGCTGTGTGCTGCATTCCTAATCAAGAGGGTTCAAATTCGAAATGACAAGCATGTGCTGCTTTGATTTATTTAGTCACCGTTTGGTTTTACAATGCAAAAGTGTTTTTTGAAGAGATTTAGATTTTTTTTAAAATTATTTTTTATTTTTTATATTATTTTAGTATGCTGATATAAAAAATATTTAAAAATATTATTTTAAAACTAAATAAAAAATACTTTGAAAAATAATATTTACCACAATATTATAAGATAAAACACTTCAAATTATTTATTAATAAGTAATTATGTTGCACTTCGAGTGAGATCACTTTAATTATTTAGTAAACTATTATTACGTTATTTCAATTAAAATCATTATTATTAAAAATATAATTTCAATTGATTGTTTTTTAAATTAAACATTATTTTTTACGAAAATAAAATAATTTCTCAAAAAATTACTTCTTTCATTCAAAAAACCATAAAAATCACTAAAAGAATATAAATAGAGAAAAAAATAATCAAAATAGTACACAATATTTTTTTTAAGTAAATACTAAATAGAACTACTAAATAATTTAGTTATAATCCATGAAAGCAATGAGGTAATATAATTGAATAAAATAATTGAGGTTAATTAATTTTAAAAATATTTAAATATTATCAAATATTAGTTAATTAATTAATATGTATAAAATAAAAATAATTAAAGTTAGTTGAATTTTAAATATTTTTAATTATTTTTAAAACTACCTTTATGAAAATCACTTTCTACTGTAAAGAGTAAATATTTATGATTAACTTTTTTTTTCTTACTTCAATGCAAAGCAACAAAAGTTAAAAATAAAGTAGTGTTAAAATTCAACCTAAAAGTTGACTTAGAATAAATTAAGAGTTATAAGTTAAAAAAAAAATTATACAATATATTAAAAAAATCAATATTTCATTGTTTTTTTAATTGTTCACCAAAACTAGGACCATTATAATTTGAAACAGTGTAATAATATAAATGTTATTGCCAAAAAAATCTTGCTAAACATGCAACTAGAGGTGTAATTTTTTTTTATAGAATATATTTAGCATTAAAAAATAATTTGAGATAAAATAGTTTGTTTGTATTTTCTGAGTTATACTATAGATACTAAGTAGCCCTTTTGGGTGCATAATTTTAACATTGGAATTAAGAGCTTTTTTTGTCTTTTCAAAAAATAAACAGTAAAGATATATACCCTAAATGAAGGGAAAATATATGAATGTGTTAACGGGCTTCATCATCTTTTCATTTTATTGAAACAGTTCAAATATGAAAATATCTTTAGATTTTATTTTTTATTGAAACAGTTCAAATATGAAAATACCTTTAGATTTAATTAAAAAAACAAGGTTGCATGTAGATGTATTTTCATCATTTCATGTCATTGCTCTACTTAAACGTCTTAGTATAACAGTAGGCACTAAGGCATGCAAAAGTTGCTAGTCCTCAGGCACCAGGGCATGACATGGCTGTTAGGCCCTAAACATTAAGGAATGGTATGGCTGCTAAACCCCAGGTACTCGAGTCAGGTATGGTTGTCAGACCTAGCGTCTTGAATCTAGAAAAGTTGTCAAACCCAGACACTATAAATATAACAGAGGTGCTGATTAGTACTTAAAAGTGCATTTTTATCATGGTTTTATATTTATCATTTTGCACTTGAAGTATCAATAACTCCTTAACTAAAATATGTTTTATAATAATGTATCTAATAAGATAAGATACAACAACAATAACAATAACAATAACAACAACAATAATAATAACAATA